TCTCTTTTTTTTTTTTTTAGTAACTTACAGCTTTGTTTTAATGCCACTGAATTATAAAGACTCAAGATTAGCCAGGCTGGCCTCAAATGCCAACAGAAGCCTTACATCCCGCTAAGACACAATTATGGGGGACCCCTCAGACCACAGATGAAGAGCTTAGGCTGCTTTTTACTCCTGTCTTGCAAAACAAAACAAAAAAGAACCAAAATTTTTCTTTTAAATTAATGGGATCCAATTCACATCATCGGCTCATGCTCCAGAGAGACAGGCGTGAAGGCAGTTATACGAAATAAACGTCTCGTTTTCCCCAGCTGTATTACACTACTCATGTTTCCCCCCCCTAAAATAAGACTGGGGTTTATATTCATTTTTGCTCCAAAAGATGCACCGGGGCTTATTTTGGAGGAAATACAATACTAAATATGTCCATCTGGCTGACAATCTTAATTGGGGCTTATTTTTTGGGGGGGGAGGCTTATATTATGAGTGTCCTGGAAAAAAAATCACGCTAGGGCTTTTATTTTTCGGGTTGGGTCATATTTGGGGGAAAACACAGTAGATAATTCCATTGCTCCAGGAAAAAAAAAATAATAATTTAGATTGAATGAAGCTTCCCCCACCCTTTCTCTGTCAGCCATTAGCTGCCCTCCATGAAAAAAAGAGGGAGGGGGGAAAAGCATTTTCTCTTAACAGCCTTCCCCCCCTCCCTCCCTCCCAAATGGATTTCCTTCCATCTTCTGCCATTCAATTATCACCTTGGGAAACCCACACAGATATATATAACTGATGATCCCTTCAAACAGCCTACCGTTCCGCACCCCCAGCCCTCTGTTCCCGTCATTAAATGTAACACTGCTAGCCTGCATTATGTAGGGTGACCCTGATGAGCTGCCACTTCGATGCCTCAACCCAGATAATAAGATTGCACAAATCTGGAAGGGCAGAGAGGGGTGGGGGGGCAAAAAAAACCCCAACACGTTTACTTAGGAAGAGGCACCGCTGGAGGAAACCCTCCCCCTCACTTTGCAAAAAGCTGGGATTGGGCTTTGGGTAGTAGCAGTGCCAAATCCGAACACCACCACCCCCTTGGCAAAAATTTTAGCAAATTCGAAAGAGTCGCAGCGTTTCCGGGGAAGTCATCCCACTTAGCCTAACAGGAGGGGGAGAAAGAAACAGGAGGATTTTGCAAATGCTTTGCAGAGAGGCGAGCCTTTCGGGTGTTAAAGTAATAATAATAAAGATGATGATGATGATGAAGAAGTAGTAGTAGTACTAGTAGTAGTACTACTAGTAGTAGTAGTAGTAGTAGAAGAAGAAGTTGGAAGGGACCTTGGAGGTCATCAAGTCCAACCCCCTGCTCAGGCAGGAAACCCTATACCATTTTGGACAAATGGCTGTCCAGTCTCTTCTTAAAAACCTCCAGTGTTGGAGCATTCACCGCTTCTGGAGGCAGGTTGTTCCACTGGTTAATTGTTCTGACTGTCAGGAAGTTTCTCCTTAGTTCCAGGTTGCTTCTCTCCTTGATCAGTTTCCATCCGTTGCTTCTTGTCCTGCCTTCAGGTGCCTTGGAGAATAGCTTGACTCCCTCTTCTTTGGGGCAGCCCCTGAGATACTGGAACATTGCTATCATGTTTCCCCTCATCCTTCATTAAACTAGACATACCCAATTCCAGCAGCCTTTCCTTATATGTTTTAGCCTCCAGTCCTCTAATCATCTTTGTTGCTCTTCTCTGTACTCTTTCTAGAGTCTCAGCATCTTTTTTTACATCGCGGCGACCAAAACTGGATGCAGCATTCCAAGTGTGGCCTTACCAAGGCCTTGTAAAGTGGTATCAACACTTCACATGATCTCGATTCTATCCCTCTGTTAATGCAGCCTTTGAGGTGGGGGAGCTTTACAAATCATTTAAATACCTTTTTCGAAAGGTGACGGACCCCTGAACTAATGAGAAAGGCTTGGCCTCTTGGTTTGAATCGCCCGTCATCAAAAGCAGGAGTCTTCAGCCTGACGATGCCTGCCAGTATTGTTTCGCATGCAAGCCTCATCATCCTGAGCCGGAAAGATCCGAAGGCCTGGATTCGCCGCTTGCAAATCCGTGATAACAAAGTGTGCAGACTGAGATTGGAACAAACCATGTTTATTTAGCCTTGCCGTGAGAGAAGAAGCCTGGATGCTCCCCTCTATCTCTTCAGTGTCTCTTCGGTGCTTCTTAAAATCTTTTGCCGTTAGTCGTTCTTTATAAGGCTAGTCTTTTTCTGGCTTCTGGTTTGTGTGTAAATATAGCCCGGCCCTCCAGTCACTGCAGTGGCTTATTGTCGCTAATTTTAGCGCTCGTGAACTCGCCGCCTTTGCAAAAAAAATCGTCTTCCTGTGGTCCAAAGTTTAGGTGTGTAATGCTGCATTCTGCCATTAGGGGGAAGTCTCACCCACAAGGCTTGGCATCCGTCTTCCCAAATGCAGCCCGGAATCCCTATTGCCAAAGAAAATTGCTATTTATTTATTTTACTTGTTTGTTTGTTTGTATTTTGAAAGCATCTGGAGCGAGCGTGGCCGGAGCTAGGTTTATCCTACGCCACCCAAATTCACTTCGGGTGAATTTAGTTATTTAGTTATTTGACAAATAACTAAATAAAAATAAAGTCGTCGTAAATTAAAGTGGCCTTTCCTCGCTTGCTGGGAAATAGGGCAGGCCCCATCCCAGCACATCCTCACTTCAAATCTTTCCCCAGTGCCTGCCCCGATGAAAAGAGGTAGGGGTAGGGTAGGGTAAAGTAGAATAGAATAGAATATATTCCATTCTCCACCATTCTGTCAGAACCGAGGAAGTTCCTGGAATGAAAAACAAAACATTTTCGAGGGGAAAAAAACGAAGAAATTCCAGTTGCCTCTTGAGTGGGGGGGGGGGAGAAATAAAAAATAAAAAAGCATCTTTGGGACAACCTGGATGGCCGATCATCTCCACGACGTTTGAGTTCCGTCTCCATGTGGCCCTTGATGTTTTAGAAGCAGGGCTGGCCTTGGGGGGGCCAAGGGAGGTCATCTAGCCCCACAGACGGATGGAGGGCGCTTGGCTTCTGTGCCGCCAGAGAGCAGACCCCGCTGGCTAATCTGTACCCAGGGCCTCCTTTTGATCCACAATTCCTTGTGCTAATGTTTCGGCCCGCCCGACGGATTTCACTTTTGTCCCCTGGATTAACGCACGCATTTTCGGGCACACGCTCTGCGTGTTTGATCGACGTTCCCTCGGCTTGATTCACGGGGGTCCCCGTCCGCCCCCTTCCCTTTTAAAAGCAGGTCCTTTGTCAGCCCGGCAGGCCTCAGGCACACAGACACCTAATCCTCTCGGATTTTCTCTCTTCCAGCGTTTAATTCCTTAGCCAGACACCGTCGCCCTTAACGGAGCAGGGAGCAAGCAGTTCCGCCTGGTTGCCCTCCAGACAGAGTTTTCAAACCTGCTTTTCCTGGCTTGTTCAGAGGAACCGCAGACATTTCAGAGGAACAAGTAGCCTGGCATTGGCCAACCAGCATTTTGAGATGGGAAGACCTAAGCGAATCCAGTGTGCCTGCAATCTTCGCTTTTTAGTAACGGACCCAGGCCTATTTGCACGTCGTTCCTTCAATTTTGGTCTTGCTGTTGTTTCGAAAACCCGTTTTTTTAATATTGGGAATTGCAGGGATTCTAACCCAGACCGAGTAGAAAGAAAGCCGTGGCAGAAAACGTCTTTGTGTGTGTGTGCTTGCCAGGGAAACACCCTAAAGTCAGCACAACCTGAGCTGGATTTTTGGAAGACTTTGTTTTCGCCATTGTACTAAGCCCTGTTTGTCGTGACCATGATTGTGCTGTGCAGGAACTTAATGCAAAACAATCGGTGGTAGACTGGCTTACGAGCCACAAGGAGTGCCTTTACACAAGCCTTGTGAAACCGCAAATACATCTCCTTACAACCGCAAATACATCTCATGGTTTAGCACAATGCAAAACCAGCCACTAACTCGTACAGGTTTGGCTCTGGACCAGAATTGCTAATGGCAAGTGTGTATGTGTGTGCGTGCATGTGCAGTTCTCCTTGTCAGCTGGGAGTTGAAGTCCACATGCCTTCCACTTGCTACAGTTGAGAAAGGGGTCTCCAACCTTGGCGACTGTACGACTTGTGGACTTCAACTCCCAGAATTCCTCAGCCGGTTCGCTGAACGACTTGTGGACTTCAACTCCCAGAATTCCTCAGAGTTTGGAGCCGAGGTTTGCAGAGATGGTTAGATCGTTCAGAGCTTCAAAGACAGACTCACATACACACCCCCTTGTGGGCAATTTGACGCAGTGTTCATTCCAACTTGTCGACTTTTAAGAGGTTGGTTAGGAATCCCTCCCGCCCCCAAGCTGGCTTATTATTTGAATATCAAGGGTCCTTTTTTCCTCCATCACGGCTTGGGAAAAGATCGAGGTTTAACCATCAAACACAAGGAGGTGAAATTCACATTACACCTGCTCTGGTTTGAATCCGATTTTTTTTTTTTTTAACATAAGCCAGATTCATTACACGACGAGATTACTGCTGATTTCTCCCGGCGGGCGCTACAATTGCCTAAATTATCTGAACATCTCGGTATACATGCGACGATTACGGCTTTCGTATTGTGGGAAGAGCTTTGAGTTGGATTTTGTTTTTTTCCTTCCAGTCCCAGGTTATCCGCTGCCCTCCCTTTGTCTTCCCCTTTGAATGATCTACTGTATTTTAGCTTTGTTTAACGCTTTTAATTCCTGTAAAGAATTAAACTCAAGAGGTGGGACGTTCTTTTGTCTCGTGGTGGTGGGGGGGGAAGGTCAGCGGTTCAAACCGGTGGATGCGGAAAAATGCAACTCTGAAAAGGAGAGCAGATGGGACATAGCCTCCAAGACATTAGCCGTTGGTTTTGCAAACATGTATTTTTCTGTTCCCTCCGAGGGTTTTCCTTCGGTTTCTCTCCTAACCTGGCCGTCCTGCTTCTTCTCTCTTCCCAGGGAGAGCTGATCACCTTCTATTACTACTGGAAGAAGACGCCGGAAGCTGCCAGCTCCCGGGCTCACCGCAGGCATCGGCGACAGGCTGTCTTCCGGAGAATTAAGACCCGGACAGCTTCCACTCCGGTGAACACCCCCTCCAGGCCTCCTTCCAGCGAATTCTGTAAGTAGGAAGCTGAAAGGCATGTAAGGGGGGGGGGGACACGACTGATCCCTGTTTAGATGCAAAGGGTCCCACGGAAAGTTGTGGGTTTTTTTTCCCATTCTTCCCCAAAAGAGGGGAGATAGATAACCTGATTCAGTCTCTTTCTTTTTGTCCTCTCTCCCTCCCTCTCTCTTTCTCCCTCTCCCCCTCTCTCCCCCTCCTCTCTCCCTCCTCTTTCTTCCTCCCTCTCTCTTCCTCCCTCTCTCTCCCCCTCTCCCTCCCTCTCTTTCTTTCTCCCTCCCTCTCTCTCTCCCCCTCCTCTCTGTCTCCTCTTTCTTCCTCTCTCTTTCTCCCTCCCTTTCCCTCTCTCTGTGTCCCCCTCTCCCTCCTTTTTCTTCCTCCCTCTCTCCCCCTCCCCCTCTCTCTTCCCCCTCCCTCTCTTCCTCTCTCTTCCTCTCTTCCTCTCTCTTCCTCCTTCTCTCTTCTTCCCTCCCTCTCTCTCTTTCTCCCTTCTTCTCTTTCTCCCTCCCTCTCTCTCTCCCTGTCCCTCCCTCTCTTTCTCCCTCCCTCTCCCTCCCACTTCCTTTCTCTCTCTCTCCCTCTCCCACTCGCCCTCTTAATTCCTCCTAGTGGATTTGAGCTCGGCCAGCGAAGATGATTTTGACAGCGAGGACAGTGAACAGGAGCTGAAGGGCTATGCGTGTCGACACTGCTTCACCACCAGTATGTATGTTTAGCTGGGCTCAATCAATCAATGCTTACCAATCAGCATAGAGCTGGAAGGGAGCTTGGAGGTCTTCTAGTCCAGCCCCCTGCTCAGGCAGGAGACCCGATACCCTTTCAGACAGCTGGCTGTCCAGCCTCTTCTTAAAAACCTCCAGCGATGGAGCGCCCACGATTTCTGAAGGCGAGCTTTTCCATCGGTTATAATAAGGGAAATAAGTCGACCCCCCCCCTCTCTTTCCGGCAGCCCCTCAAATACCAGAATACTGCTCTCGTGTCACCCCTGGTCCTTCTTTTCTGTAGCCTTCCCCAGGTCTCGTCCGCCTTCCCCGACAGAGCAGGCAGGAAACAGATGAGCTAATTCTGCTTTGTCGTCCGGCTACGTTAACAGAATCTTGCCGGGCTGAAAGTACAAATCTGCCACCTTCCCTTTTACAGCCTGAAAATTTAAGAGAGGTTCCCATTCTGAGCATCTTCTCTCCACCCATTGTGCAGCTGCGGGCAGCGCCGTCCCTTATCTGACCATTCCCTAAGCAGCTCCTCCTCTCCCGAGGTCATCCCCACAAGCCATGATGGGTCCCCACCTTCCTCTTTTACCCATCACCATCGCCTTAAATCTTGTGATTCATTCTTCTGGGGGTTGATGGTGTCTTCTTTTTTTTCCTCTTCTTTTTTTTTTTTTTTCTTTCCACAGCCTCCAAGGACTGGCACCACGGGGGACGGGAGAACATCCTTCTCTGCACGGACTGTCGGATCCACTTCAAGAAGTACGGGGAGCTTCCTCCCATTGAGAAGCCGGTGGACCCGCCGCCTTTTATGTTTAAGCCGGTCAAGGAGGAAGATGATGCTCTCAGCGGGAAGCATAGCATGAGGACGAGAAGGAGCCGCGGCTCGGTAAGTGTCACGTTGGTCCACCTTTGTGATAAAATAACGGAATAACTGAGTTGGAAGGGACCTGGGAGGTCATCTAGTCCAACCCCCTGCTCAGGAAGGAAACTCTACACCATTTCAGACAAAGGGCTGTCCAGTCTCTTCTTTAAAACCTCCAGTGTTGGAGCATTCACCGCTTCTGGAGGCAGGTTGTTCCACTGGTTTATTGTTCTAACTGTCAGGAAGTTTCTCCTTAGTTCTAGGTTGCTTCTCTCCTTGGTCAGTTTCCATCCGCTGCTTCTCGTCCTGCCTTTAGGCGCTTTGGAGAATAGCTTGACTCCCTCTTCTTTTGGGCAGCCCCTCAGATACCGGAACACTGCTATCATGTCACCCGTAATCTTTCTTTTCATCATGTTGAATGGGTGGATAAAGCAAGAGACAGCGATCCCGTTGCACATTATCCTGTCATAGGCTCAGCTCTTTTGGCTTCTCTGCTTTAGGGAGTGTTGGAGTGAGAAACTTCCTGACAGTGAGGACAATTAACCAGTAGAACAGCTTGCCACCAGAAATCATGGGTGCTCCATCACTGGAGATTTTTAAGTAGAGACTAGACACTTATCTGTCTGAGCTGGAATAGGTTCTCCTGCTTGAGCAGGGGGCTGGACTAGAAGACCTCCAAGCTCCCTTCCAGCTTCTGTTCTATTCTATTCCATATTCTATTCTATTCTATTCTACCTATTTTGGAAGCAGCCTTTGATCTTGCCTTTCTCCCTTAATCAGCAGATGTCTACACTTCGCAGCGGTCGTAAAAAGCAACCCACCAGCCCAGACGGGAGAGCCTCACCCATCAACGAGGACATCCGGTCCAGTGGCCGAAACTCACCCAGCGCGGCCAGCACTTCCAGTAACGACAGCAAGGCGGATTCGGTCAAGAAATCCACCAAAGTATGTTGGGATAACAGTTGGCGGTCCTTCCTGGTAGAGGTCCGAGCAGGTTGAGGCAGGTCGAGCGCGGCTGATGGAGCTGGGACTCGGGGGCCCTTCCGAACTCTCCCGTGGAGTTCCTCCATCTTGCCAGCTTAGGAATCTTCTTGTGTCCTCCTTTGGGCTCTTCCAGACATTAATGGGGAAGCCCGTTGCAAAGCCAATTTCTCACTCCATCAGTTCTCCGTCCATCTCTCCATCCCTTGTTCCTCACACTACTTCAGGAAAATCCCTTGTTAGGTCTGAGTGCGAAGCCTTTAGGAGGCCAAGTGTCCAGGTAGCACCACCCCCCGTCCCTCCTTTTAACCACGTGGCTTTTCTTCCGTGGCAGAAGATCAAAGAAGAGGCTGCTTCTCCTCTCAAGAGCTCCAAGAGGCAACGGGAAAAGGCCGCCTCTGACGGCGAGGAGCCCGACCGCATCAATGCCAAAAAAACCAAAACCCAGGTGAGTCCCTGGAGGAGGAGAAGCCGCCGCCGGTGCTAGACTGGGTGGGTGGGGGAGGTCTGGGCGTTCAGATCCAGCCCACGGTGGTCTTGCTGAGGGCCGCGGGGTGGGTGGGTTGGGCTTCAGGCTGTCGCTCTCCAGGGGTGACCTGGTCTGATGGAAGCCCGTGAGATGCTCAGAGACGCCCGTGGCCTGGGGTGACTCCCGTCTGCCTGCAGGGCATTCCTCTGGAGGATCCGGTCTTCCGGCGTGACCTTCCCTCTTTCCCCTCCCCTCCTTCCAGGAGATCAGCCGGCCCAACTCCCCCTCGGAGGGCGAAGGGGAGAGTTCCGACAGCCGCAGCGTGAACGACGAGGGCAGCAGCGACCCCAAGGACATTGACCAGGACAACCGCAGCACCTCGCCCAGCATCTCCAGCCCTCAGGACAACGAGAGCGACTCGGACTCCTCAGCCCAACAGCAGCCCTCTCTCCAGGCCCCCAACGGCCCGGCCCAGCCCCCCGGGCCCCTTCCGGCGCAGCTGCCCTCGTTGCCGGCCGGCATCCTCTCTTCCGCCGGCCCACATGTGTCCCCGTCGGGAGCGCAGCCCCCCAGCCAGCAGCCGCCGCCTCTGCCCCTGGGCCTCCCTCATTCGCACATCCAGCAGGGGCCTTCCTTGCACCCCCCCAGGCTGCCATCCCCTCCTCACCCGTCTCTGCAGCCGCTCGGCGGCCCCTCCAGCCAGCCCCCGGGCCTCTCCCAGCCGCCCCTCCATGGCCAGATCCAGGCCCTGCCGCACGGCCTGCAAGGCCAGCCCCTCCTGCCCCATCCGGCCCCTGGGCAGCCCTTTGCCCTCCCGCCCCAGGCCTTGCCAGCCTCCACTTCGCAGTCTCAGGGTCCCCTGCCGCCCCCGGCCCCCTCCCATACCCACCCAGCCCTGCAGGTCTCGGTGCCCTCCTCGTCCCCGCTGTCCTCCCAGTGCCCCCGGGAGCAGCCCTTGCCCCCTGCCCCCATGGCCATGCCTCACATCAAGCCCCCGCCCACCACGCCCATCCCGCCCCTGCCCACGCCCCCCTCCCACAAGCATCTCTCTGGCCCCTCGCCCTTCTCCATGAACTCCAACCTGCCCCCGCCCCCCGCACTGAAGCCGCTTAGCTCACTCTCCACCCACCACCCGCCCTCCGCGCACCCCCCTCCCCTGCAGCTGATGCCCCAGAGCCAGCCCCTGCAACCCTCCCCCGCCCAGCCCCCGGTCCTCACCCAGAGCCACCCGGCCCCTCCCCAGCCCCCTTTCGCCCAGCACCCCTTCGTTCCCGGGGGGGCGGCTCCCGTCACGCCGCCTTCCTGCCCGTCGACTTCCACGCCACCCTCTGTGCCAAGCGCCCCGAGCCAGGGGGCCGTGCCCAGCTCGGCGGCCTGTGGCGGGAGCCTCCCCGTGGTGGCCACCTGCCCCATCCCCTCCATCCAGATCAAGGAAGAGGCGCTGGACGAGGCTGAGGAGCCCGAAAGCCCCCCTCCCTCCACCCGGAGCCCCTCCCCAGAGCCCACGGTGGTGGACACGCCGAGCCACGCCAGTCAGTCGGCTAGGTGAGGGGGCTGATCTCAATTCATCCCCACCTGGCCCATCTGCTTAGCCTGGAGATAGATGCTTTGGGCAGGCTTGGGGAGACTTAGATGGGAGGCGAAGGCAGCCCCTTGTGGGGTATTCAGGAAGCCATGGTTTAAATGTGGCTTAGTGCATCGCGATAATAAAATCTTGGGACTGAATAATGCAGAGGAAAATCGGTGGAGTAATACGAACCCGGTCATTTTCCCGGCTGACGTCCTGCTAGAGGGGAGGAAGATTAAAAATCCCATCATCTCTAGCCAGCCTGATGGATAGCGTAGTTCCCTATCTCTAGTAAGGAGTGTAGCAGTCTTATATACATCAATGTTTAGAACAAGGGAAACAATAAAATAAAGACAGGTAACTATCAGTTTCAGGATAATTTTGGCTTGCAGAAGGCATCTTCGATTCAAAAAAGTAAAAGCTTTACTTCCAAATTAGCAAGACAGAGCTAATTTCAATGTGTTAAATCCCCATTTCTAGTTTTGGTGCAGTCCTAGCTATTGCCCGATTCAGCTCTTGTGACAAATCCCTCTTAACTTTCAAGATCCTCATGCTTTTCCCGGTGCCGATCATTTTAGCTTCTCCTCATCCTCCCCTCTGCCCCGCAGGTTTTACAAGCACCTGGACCGTGGCTACAACTCTTGCGGCCGGACGGATCTGTACTTCATGCCGCTGGCTGGCTCCAAGCTGGCAAAGAAGCGGGAAGAGGCGATTGAGAAGGCCAAGCGTGAGGCAGAGCAGAAAGCGAGAGAAGAACGGGAACGGGAAAAAGAGAAGGAGAAGGAGAGGGAGCGAGAACGGGAACGCGAGAGGGAAGCGGAAAGAGCGGCGGTAGGTTGGTCTGTCTGGCTGAAGGTGGGTGGTGGGACGGGGGGGCTGAATCGGACCCCCAAAAGGAAGGACGACTGTTCTTACCCCTATACAAGCAGCTGACTTAGTGACTCAGCCCTGGCTTAACGGGAGGTAGAAATTCAGAAGAGATTGCTGGCTCCCAAGGATGCAGTTACAGTCATAGGCAAGGCTGTGTGCTTTCAGACCTACAGCGCTGTCTTCCCACTAGGAGACGAGCCTCTTGGTTCCCACAACTTAACAGTCCTTGAATTATAGCAGTCCCAAGTTACAACAGCACCGAAAAAAGAGACTTAGGGCCAGTTTTTCACACTTAACGACCCTTTGCGGCATCCCCATGGGTCACGTGATCAGAATTCAGACGCTTGGCAACTGACTCACTTAATAAATGTTCCTCTTAGCAACCAAAATGTTGGGCTCAGTTGTATCACCTCGGCCGACACACTCCAGGGTGTTGCATGGCCCCTGTGGGGATAAGAAGGATGTGTTGTGATTCCTCGCCAGCCAGTGGACCCGGCAGCTGAGTCTGGGGAAATCAGAGGAGGAGGAGGAGGGGCCTGGAGTGACATCAGAGTCAAAGGAAGGCTCTGAGGAGCTCCAAGACTTACAGTCGGACGAGGAGCCCGGCCCCTCTACTCGCGCTCAGGCTGAGACACAGCAGTGCTGGGAATCTTGAGTTGGACAGTGATGAAGAACAGCTGGGACAAATCCAGGATGCATGAAAGCGCCGGCAAGAAAAGAGAGTAGGACAGAGGGATGCAATGGGCCGGCTCCAAAGGCAAAGGAAAAGGCATTAGGAAGGCTCACCTTGGTTGCATAATAAAAGGGAAGGGGTGGGAAGTGCTGGTGGTTGAAGGCAACCGTTTGTGTTGAGCAATTGAGTTTCTGTGAACTGTTTGTTTGCCTTGGACATGGACTCAGGTCTGTGAAGAATAAAAGGGGATTGTTTTTTTCCTGCGGTTCCGGCCTGCTTGTTGGAAGAGGGGTTTCTCCTTGTGAGTTTAACAAGGACTCACGTAGGCTGGGACAGAACATTATGGCTGACACAGAAGGATCTCCCCCACAAGCAGGGCTGGGTTTTCCTGGCCCCAGATATGGCAGGTGTCTTAAGTGTCCACCTGGCTGTGAAGCCTTGCATGTATTCAATACCTCCCATGCAAGAAACATCTGGGCTATTGTTTTATTTGTCCTAAGTCTCTCTCTTCCTTCCCACAGAAAGCGTCCAGTTCCTCCCACGACGGTCGTCTCGGAGAATCCCAGCTGAGCGGGCCGGCGCACCTGAGGCCCTCCTTTGAACCACCCCCTACCACCATCGCGGCCGTACCCCCCTACATCGGGCCGGATACCCCGGCCCTACGGACGCTGAGCGAGTACGCGCGTCCTCACGTCATGTCCCCCACCAACCGGAACCACCCCTTCTTCGTTCCACTCAACCCCACCGACCCACTCTTGGCCTACCACATGCCTGGCCTCTACAATGTGGACCCCACCCTCCGGGAGCGGGAGCTGCGGGAGCGGGAGCTGCGAGAGCGGGAGCTGCGGGAGCGGGAACTACGGGAAAGGATGAAGCCGGGTTTCGAGGTCAAGCCTCCCGAACTGGACGCCCTCCACCCGGCCACCAACCCCATGGAGCACTTTGCCCGTCACGGGGCCCTCACCATCCCCCCGACGGCAGGCCCGCACCCCTTTGCTTCCTTCCACCCTGGGCTTAACCCTCTGGAGAGGGAGAGACTCGCTTTGGCCGGCCCGCAGTTACGGCCGGATATGAGCTACCCGGACAGACTGGCTGCCGAGAGGATCCACGCCGAGCGAATGGCGTCCCTCACCAACGATCCCTTGGCCAGGCTCCAGATGTTCAACGTGACGCCCCATCACCACCAACATTCCCACATCCATTCACATCTGCATCTCCACCAGCAGGACCCCCTACATCAAGGTGAGGCGCTGAGGACCGGCTGAGTCCCTGGGCCGAGTCCCAGGACGGTCCCGGGGGGGGGGGGGGAAGGACCGTATCCTTGATCTACAGAAAATGAGCTGGCTGACAACATCTCCCAGCCTGAGGCTGGTACACGGGCTCCTCCACTTTCGTTCGTTTAGCGACCAACGGCATGGAAAGAAACGACTTTTTATGACCGTTTTTCACCCTTAACGACCCACTGCATTATTCCCTCATGGTCACATGATCCGAATTCAGATGCTCGGTAACTGACTCGTGCTTATGATGGTCGCAGTGTCCCTGGGCCCGCAGGGGTAGGCAACCTGGGCTCTTTTATGACTTGTGGACTTCAACTCCCAGAATTCTTGAGCCGGCTTGGCTCAGCTTGGAAACCTCTCCCTTTCCCCTCAGCGCGGCTGACTCAGGAATTCTGGGAATTGAAGTCCACAAGTCATAAAAGAGCCCAGGTTGCCTACCCCTGCCCTGGGGGGGGGCACGTGATCCCCTTTTGCGACCTCCTGTCAATGGGGAAGCCAGGTTCGTGTAACCACCATGCTACTGGCAACTGCAGTGATTCACTTAACAGCTGTGGTCGTAAAATGGGGCAAAACTGCCTCAGCAACTATCTCGCTTAGCGACACAAATTTCAGGCTCAATGGTGGCTGTAGGTGAAGGAAAACTTGTATTTTCAGATTTTTGATTCTCGCTACCCTCTGCGGGAATCCTCCTAGCTGTAGCATCTTCCTTCCTATCTAAATCCAGCTGTAATGAGTAGCCACCATAACCCCCCCCCCCCCGAGATAGGTCAGGCCTGTAGGCCAAACTACAAGGTCGGTCCCTTGGTTTTTGTTTTTTCCACCTAGGATGCTCCACAGATACTTCTCGGGGGTTGAGCTCATTTTAGCACGGAGGAAGTTAGCCCCAAGTTTGCAAGACTTGCAAGAGAAATCCCTTTTCACCTTTAAATGGGGCAGAGGACAGGCAGAGGTGCCCTGCAGCAGACATATATCGGTAGTAACCTTGGAGTTGTCTGCGGAGATTCTCCATCGTCCAGGTCACGGTTGTCCCAAAGGTTGTCCTTTTCACAAACTGGACTTTTTTTTTTTCTTTGAAGGCGTTTCGCTTCTCATCCGAGACTGGATGGTGGGGAAGGGAAGGATTTATCCTCCTTGCAGACAGCCGGTCACTTGCATCCTTTTAGAGAGCCGTTGAGGCCCACCTGGAGGTTTTACCTGTGTCCCCAGGGTCACCTGAGCGGTGCAAATGGGTGGGGGAGCCTCCTTGGAACTGCGGAAAGGACCATGTTGTCGATTGGAGATAGAAGACGTCGTATCCCTCCCCCTCTGTTGAGAGAGGGCTGTTTTCAATTCCATTTTCAAATATTTATTTATTTATTTATTTATGAGACTTATATACCGCTTTAAGTGCAAGCACTCTCTAAGCGGTGTACAACCAGTAAGCAATGTATATCTATATTTACATTGCCCCCAACAATCTGGGTCCTCATTTTACCTACCCCGGAAGGATGGAAGGCTGAGTCAACCTTGAGCCGGTGAGATTTGAACCGCTGACCTGCTGAACACAGTCAGCTAAAGTGGCCTGCAGTATTACACTCTAACTGCTGCACCATCTCGGCTCTTTATATATATATATATAAATATATATGTATATAAATATATAAATGTAGGTCTTTGGTTGTTCGGGTTTTCTCCCGCGTAAAATTGGAAGTGTCTTGGCGACGTTTCGATGAAGTCCCATTCGTCATCTCCAGGCCAGCTTCGTGCTTCGAGCAGCAATTGCCCGAAGCATGAAGCTGAAAACACCAGCCTGAAGATGACGAATGGGACTTCGTCGAAACGTAGCCAAGACACTTCCAATTTTACACGGGAGAAAACCCGAACAACCAAAGACCTACATACAAACACCCGCGAAAACCTCAGAAAACAAATATATAAATCCTTCCACTCCCCACCATCCCAGTCAGAGCTGAAGAAGCTTCTGGGAAGAGAAGCGAAAGCTTTTCAAAGAAAAACAAGAAAAGGCCAGTTGATTCCTGAAAAAAGCACCTTTGGGAATAACCTTGGGGTGTTCTGAGCAGGAGGGGACACGATGCTTGCAGTCCCCAAGGGTGAGGTCTGGTGCTCCTAATTTTTCCGGTGGGAATGGGGTCCTGCTTTCCCCTCCCCCAAGTCCTTTGGTCTGTTAAGGTTGGGGCGTTTTAAGTTTTGCTTGGTGCTTTTGAAGCACCTGTCAGAGATGGTAACAGTCCTCCTGCCTGAGCAGGGGGCTGGACTACAAGACCTCCAAGGTCCCTTCCAGCTCTATTCCTACTCTACTCTACTCTACTCTACTCTACTCTACTCTACTCTATTCTATTCTATATTCTATTCTGTTCTATTCTATATTCTATTCTATATTCTATTCTATTCTATTCTATTCTATTCTATTCTATTCTATTCGAACCAAGGAGAGAAGCAACTGGAACTAAGGAGAAACTTCCTGACAGTGAGAACAATTAACCAGTGGAACAACCTCCCTCCAGATGTAGTGAATGCTGCAACACTGGAAGTTTTTAAGAAGAGACTGGACAGCCATTTGTCTGAAATGGTATAGGGTTTCCTGCCTGAGCAGGGGGTTGGACTAGAAGACCTCCAAGGTCCCTTCCAGCTCTATTCCTACTCTGCTCTGCTCTGCTCTGCTCTGCTCTACTCTACTCTACTCTACTCTACTCTACTCTACTCTACTCCACTCCACTCCACTCCACTCCACTCCACTCCACTCCACTATTCTATTCTATTCCTACTCTATTCTATTCTATTCTATTCTAACCAAGGAGAGAAGCAACCTAGAACTAAGAAGAAACTTCCTGACAGTGAGAACAATTAACCAGTGGAACAACCTGCCTCCAGAAGCGGTGAATGCTCCAACATTGGAGGTTTTTAAGAAGAGACTGGACAGCCATTTGTCTGAAATGGCATAGGGTTTCCTGCCCGAGCGAGGGGTTGGACTAAATGACCTCCAAGGTCCCTTCCAGCTCTATTCCTACTCTACTCTACTCTACTCTACTATTCTATTCTACTCTATTCCTATTCTATTCTATTCTATTCTATTCTATTCTATTCTAACCAAGGAGAGAAGCAACCTAGAACTAAGGAGAAACCTCCTGACAGTTAGAACAATTAATCAGTGGAACAACCTGCCTCCAGAAGGGGTGAATGCTCCAACACTGGAAGTTTTTAAGAAGAGACTGGACAGCCATTTGTCTGAAATGGCATAGGGTTTCCTGCCCGAGCAGGGGGTTGGACTAGATGACCTCCAAAGTCCCTTCCACCTTTATTATTATTATTATTATAGAGGGAGAATTTCTAATAAATTCCAGTTATGCCCAGCTATAGCTAGTCCTTGACTTACAGGCATTCATTTAGTGACCGTTCAATGCTACGACGACCCCGGAAAAAAGTGACCGATGGCCATTTTTCACACTTAACAACTGTTGCAGCATCCCCACGATCCCGTGGTCAGAATTCAGATGCCTATTTATGACGGTCGCAGCGTCACGCGATCCCCTTTGGCGACCTTCTGGCAGGCAAAGTCTGGGGGGAAGCTGGATTCGCTTAACGATGTCACTAACTGAACAACCGTGTCATAAAACGGGGCAAAACCCACTTAACTGTCCAGCTTGTGAGGGAAATTTTGAGCTGAATTGTCGTAAATTGAGGACTGTCTGCAATAAGGGCGGCTTTGATCCCCTGATGGAAATTAGAGTTTCTAAAGAGGTGGTGATTCCTCCCCCCCCTTTTTTTTCCCCTTCCTTTCTCCCGCCCCCTCCCCTTTGCAGGCTCAGCAGGACCCGTCCATCCCCTGGTGGACCCCCTAGCCGCCGGACCGCATTTGGCACGCTTCCCTTACCCTCCCGGCACCATCCCCAACCCGTTGCTAGGACAGCCGTCCCACGAGCATGAAATGCTACGGCATCCGGTCTTCGGTGAGTGGGGACCGCCACGGCGTGCTGGGATAGGGACGCTGCCTGTTGGGTTCACACACACAACACTCTCAGCCCCTTTCCGCCCAGTCAGGCCAGCCACGTTACGGGGCCGGGGTGGAAGGTGGACTGCAGAGGAGACGGCCAACGTCCTGTTTCCCCATCAGGCCAATTCCGTGTCTCCGGGACGCCCACCAGGCGACGGGGAAGACCCAGGGGGTGATCAGTGGATATGTGTCCAGGTGGGCACTGATAAACAGGTGCCACCTTTGTGGGTCTCGCCCTTTCCTGTTTTATCTTGGCTTAAACGAGGGATTAAGGGTTGGCTGATCCGAAGGGAAAGACCTCTGTCCCCAGGTGAGCTAGGGGGCAGCTCCCTCCTTGCTGCCTCCTAGCTTCGAGTGCCAGGATTGCCACTGGAGACCCCTCTCCCTCTTTCTCCCAGGTGCCCATTACCCCCGCGACCTTCCCGGCGCCCTCCCGCCTCCCATGTCCGCGGCACATCAGTTACAAGCCATGCACGCCCAATCAGCAGAGCTGCAGCGACTGGCGATGGAACAGCAGTGGCTTCACGGGCACCCCCACATCCACGGGGGGCACCTCCCCAGCCAAGAAGACTATTACAGGTAAGGGGGGGCGGCCTCTCCCCCCCTCCCCACCGGCTGCTTCCCGAATGCTTTTTACTTCCTGCTTTTTTTTTTCCTCCTTCCCTTTTCCAGCCGCCTGAAGAAGGAGGGCGACAAGCAGTTGTAATACCTTATTTATTTGTGACGCTGACTACTCAAGTTCCTAGTCCTCGGGGAACAGTGGAATGTGTTTAATCTGGAGAACTGCTGGAAAAGCAAAAGAAATCTCTTCCAGAGAGAACCGTTCTCTCTTTTTTTTCACGCAGGAAACACACACACACACACACACACACACACACACACACACACACACACACACACACACACGTATCCCGGCCCACACGTCTCGCCCCGCAAAGCCAGGCGTGAATCGATGCATATGTTCTATACATAGTGTTCATTTGTAGGAAAGATTTCGCCAAGATCAGTTCAGGAATCTCTTTGCATGACTAAACCTGTTAAAAGGCCTTTTTTTATTTTTTTGAATGGGAGGAAGGAAAGAAAAACAAAACAGAACCGGAGAGAGAAATCACTCAAAGGGTTTCCTCATTGGTTTGGTATGTTTTTGGCCGTCGGTTTTTAATTTTTATTTCATTTTATTTTTCATTTTGAGTAGGTGCTAGTTTCAAGTTCACAACCTCTAATGCAAGCCACTGTGCATAAAAAATATATATATTCAATTTATATATATACTCAAAAAAAAAAAAAAAACCCACGAGAATCGCAAGTAGTGGCTTTACAACCTCTGGAAATCCAAGTGCTATAATAAGAATTTTAAAAGAAAAAAAAATCTACTTTTATTTTAATACATTGTAGGCAAACTTCATAATTTTTTAAGAGCTTTGCAGCATGGCGTTTTAAATCTGTAAATAACTTTTTTTGGGGGGGGCTAGGGGTTTTAAAAAGATGATTATAATTTCTTGAATTCTGATTATTAATATTATTTTTTGCCTCTACTCCAGCCCCGGCTCCTTCTTCACCGTAAAATCATTCTTACTTCTTCGCCCAGTGTTCACGAGAATATAGACTTGATTTTTAAAAAAAAAATAAGAGGAAAAAAATATATATCAGCAACCCTTTGATTCAAGAAAAGGGAGTACCATAATAAAGTCAGTAATTTCAGATCGGCTGGTAGGAGCGCAAGCATTAAAAGGAGTTTGCAGGGATAATATTAAAAAAAAAACAATTGTATTTTTTTTTTTTTTGCACACACGTTACATGTGCACATCCTTTATTTAATTACTTTTGTTCCATACTTTTGTTCTCCTCACTCTTCCTTCAATAGCTGGTTGTGTAACAAAAGCCGTTGTTTGAGCAGGAAGTCACACCTCTGTTCCAGATTGTGGGTGCATCCCAGGTGCGTCTTTTACATTACACATTCCTTTTCCTGATTTTATTTGTTTTTAAATCCCAACAATGTAAGAAGCGCTTAAGGTATTTTTTGACCCTAAGCCCTACCCTTCTTAGTTTGGGCCTGTCGATCATTTGAGCCAGCCGGTAAATGAAATCTCAATAAGAATTCAAACCGGTTATGCAAAATGTAGGGTTTTTTTTTTCCTGGGCTGGCTGTAAATATCATATTAAGTCACCCATGGGCACATTTGTGCAGGCTAATTTCTCTCCTCCCACCCTCCAATTTCAGTCCATCCTCTGGGTTGGGCTGGGAAGAGGAATAAAATCAGAATTTTGGCAAGGCTCAGAAGCTTGCCCTGTTTGGTTAAACAGCTGCCTTTCCGTGAGAACGTAACGCCAGAGTCCCGAACTAAGCTGGTGGAATCTCACTGTGACTCCTCACCCTTCCCATGGTTACGTTAGACAAGCTTTTAATTTGGGAGGTGGATAACGAAATGTGTGGCACATCACAAGTTCACTTTTCGTTGCTTCTCTTGGAAGCCTTTGCCATCCCGTGTCTCCTCCCCTCCCTCTTAATTCTTGGGAGAAGCCAAGATTTCTGATGCAAAGGCCATTTTGAAAATAAAACACCACCTACCACGATATCCTACTTTCTCAGGACATCTCTGTCCTTCAAAATCCCCTTCGGAGCAATTTTTGTTTTTTCGTTTGCAGCCTTGCCCAACGCCACCAACCATCCCTTTCTCCATGCAGTTGGCAAATTCCCCAACACTGACCTGCGCCTCAATTTCCCAGGACAGATTTGGCTTGGCTATTTTTTGTTTTTCCCCTGGGGGTCTTTTGGGGGGTCACCCAGCCTCAATCCACACTGGCGACTTGATGGGTCTGCCTGCCTTACTGCAAAATAAAAACTGTTGAATCCAGCCTTGAGGGAAGAGAGAGGGATTGCTAAGCAGGGGAAATTATTATTTTTTTAATTTTTTGCAAGTCAGATGCAAAGAAATATGTATTTCTTCTCCCCCCCCCCTCCGACTAGCAAGACAAACTAAAAAAAGAAGTGAAGGAATCTTGAAAAGTTCAGGCAGTATTTCTGGAGAGGAAAACATTGGGGGGGGGGAAGCAGAATAGCCCCCAATAATTGTGAACATTTCTATTCCGTCTCCTGTTCGTACATGCAAAGGCAAAGAAAAATCAAATTTCAACAGGTAAACCTCAAGTCGTCAGGGATCTGTCCAAGCGTAAATCCCCTTTTGGGAAACGGTGACAACAGAAATGCATTCTCAAGTCAAAGGTATCGACCTGTTGAACTCCCACCCCCATTTTTTCTCCAATTTTTCCAGTTAATATTTTGAATCATTCCAGGGTGGGAAAATCTTAACTTTACAGTGTTACTTCTTCCCAATCTCTTAACAGTGGCCTTCCTCTGTTGCAATCGCCCAATATTTTCTTCGTGGTTAACATATTTTGCAGAACCTTCATCAATATATATTATTTTTTACAACCAACACGGTTTTTTTTTTCCTGGTTGCCCACTTTCCTACTTTGGGTGGGTACTTATTTTTTTTATTTCTTTCTTTCTTTTTCACCAACCCGTCTTCTCGTTCAGTGTTGTCCTTATTCAAGCTCTCCCTTCTGAACAGCTACGTTTATATATATCTTGATGCTTAGTGTATATACAAGTAGTTTGCCATGGAATAACACAGTGTAAAGCAGGATAGGAAAAAAAAAAGAAAAACCAGGAGTTGTGAATTCTGTGTTCTCTCCATTTGAGTATTTTGTAATTTTTTTGAAATATTTGTGGACATAAATAAAAAGCGAGCTACACTACCTGCCCAGTTTTGCCTTTTCTTTGTACACCGGTGTGGGAGGGGGGTTGCGGCTGTGTAAAATCTGGGGGGGGGGTCACACCTGAAGAGCAATGCCGGAGGCTGTTTGCACTTCCGACACCTATTTGGAGACGCAAATCTGCAGCAAGGTAAGGTGGTTTTTAAGCAGGGATGGATGGTTTCAAGTGGCAGGTATTCTGAAAATAATAATAATAATAATGAAACCATGAAAATAATAAATCTCCAGGATGCTTAAGGAGTCCTAGTTGGAGAGGTGTTTAGAAATGGGGAGGGGGGGAGAAAGTATTTTAGACTGACTCTTTGTTGAAATGTCAAATGCCTGTGGATGTTTAAAATGAGGTGTTTTTGTTTTAATTTTATTTATTTATGTATTGTATTTAAAAATTGCCCATCACTCCGGGAGTGCCAGGGTGAAGGGACTTAAGGGCCAGTGCAGGCTCTGTCCTTCCCAAATAATTATTTTTTCAATGATTCTTTTCTTAAATTTATCAGACCCAAACACCCTAATTTTGCACGCACGCACGCACGCACGCACACCTGCTTGAAATTGCCTGTTTCCTCAAGGGCTACCTTAATTTTTATTGGTTTGCTTCTTAGATTTATTGGCTGCCCGTGGTCCTTGTTTCAGACTCAAATTCTTAATTTCTCCGCCCCCCAATCTTTACCTTAGTAATAATTACAATCACTTTGACCCCCCCAAAAATGTGCCAAAATGCCACTTCTCTCTCTCTCTCTCTCTCTCTCTCTCACACACACACACACACACACACATACACAGGCTGACTGGGCAATCAATCGAGTTGTCATATTAATAGCCCAAAATGCGACGTTTGAATTGCTGAGACTGCCAGGCTTCCTGAGAACTTTGGACTGTACGCCCCATCATCCCCAGCCACCCGGGAACCCAAAGGCCACTCCATCCCAAGCTGCAGCCCGCTGGCTCCGCCCCTTCTCCAGGGCCCCGCCCTTCTCCCTCTCCCCTCAGGTGCTGAGCAAGGCCAGGTGCCCACAGGTGAGGCCCGTTGTTGCCTTGGTGAAGGGCAAGCGCCAAAGGCCTCAGGCTCCCTCAGGCCCTGTTTGGGCCCCAAAGGGCCCCGCTTTGGCCCCTGCTGACCCAGGTCAGCCTTCAAGTGTCTCTTGGGGCACGTGAGGAGCCCCACAGGGGCAATTCTGGTCCCTGAAGGGGGTTTGGAGGTACCCTTTTCCTCACAACCCTGCAGGGTAGGCCCGGCCTAGCCCAAAAGTTGGAGCTCGGCGAAGAGGGTGGGGCCCAACCCTGAAGGAGCACAAGATAGGCATTCCACAACGAGGACTAGCAACGCCCAGGCGCAGGTTAGTAACCTGGTTTAGGGCCTATTAAGAGTGGGCGGCTTGCTCAGCCACCAATGTGGGTTAAAAGGGGGGAGGGGGAGGGAGAGAGAGAGAGACGAGGCGTTTGTGTGTGTTTATTTTTATTTATTTATATTGTGTCTTTATCTCTGCAAATAATTTGAGGCGGCCAACATATCCTACACACATATTCTCCTCACAACGGCAACCCTGTGAGGTGGGCTAGGCTGAGAGAGAGGGACTGGCCCAAAGTCACCCAAGTCAGCTTTCAGGGGCTAAGGTAGGATTTGAACTCAGTCTCCTGCTTTCCAGCCTGCTGCCTTAACCACTAGGCCTTCAAACGTGGCCCTTTCATGACTTGTGGACTTCAACTCCCAGAATGCCTCAGCCAGCCTCCATTTTGTTTGTTAAGATTTAAGACGGGCCTTCAAATGTGGCCCTTTCATGACTTGTGGACTTCAACTCCCAGAATGCCTCTGCCAGCCTCCATTTTGTTTGTTAAGATTTAAGACGGGTCTTCGAACTTGGCCCTTTGATGACTTGTGGACTTCAACTCCCAAATTCCTCAGCCAGCCTCCATTTTGTTAAGATTTAAGACGGGTCTTCGAACTTGGCCCTTTGATGACTTGTGGACTTCAACTCCCAGAATTCCTCAGCCAGCCTCCATTTTGTTAAGATTTAAGACGGGTCTTCAAACTTGGCCCTTTGATGACTTGTGGACTTCAACTCCCAGAATTCCTCAGCCGGGCACGCCGGCTGA